CAAAAGTTCAACTAACTGTCTCCGAAGATGAAATGAATATATGTGGGCAGCAGAGTCAACCACCCCGTTGTTCTTCCTTCGAGTTTAGATACTTGCATTATCCTGTGACCTTACTGGACTTCGTTGATAGTCGTTTGCCGCGTCAACAACTCTTCCCGAATAGGCTGCGATAAGCCCACATTCTGGGCCCAGCATGTGGGTGGTTTTGGTCTCGGTAGGCTTAGCCGATAACGAGACACCATCACCATCGCAATGCAGGGTAGTTGACTTCGTTGTGGAGGTAGGGGTCTGGGACTTCAATGCTACGTAAACTTACATGCAGACTCCAGGCGCTTACGTGATAAGGGCTGGCAGGGGTGTGGCCCATATATTCGAAGCGCGAAGACGCGTGCCAATAGAGATCGGTGACTCTGTGTAGTGGACCCTGATTTTGTCATTTTCTAGACGTGAGCAGAATCATGGGAAAGTCTGAACCTGTCTAGTTCCGTATGTTTAGACACCCATGCTCGTAAGCGCTAGTATAGAGCCCAGGCAAAGGATTCAAAGCCTGTAAAGGGAGGGGGTGATAGAAAGAAAGAAATAAATTTCAGAGGCCCGCCTTGCTTCGGTAGCCTCTGATCTTGCTCCGCCGTGAATCAGTGTCCCCGAACTTTACCCCCAGTCCCCCCTTCAGCTTTTGATATGACACTAGCTAGCATTTACAGAGCCGAGGCACGGGAGAGCTCGCAAAGACCAACCGTACGCACGGGTTTTGGAATCAATCTCAAGAACTGACGTCCCATCTCAGCCCAGCTCCATCCAGTCTTGCATCCGCACTGACGACAATCACGGATCTACACCATGGCCTTCACTTCACCATCATCGACCTGGAGTTTGGGACAGCAATTGAGTCTTGCATTGGTTATTGTGTGTCGTTCTCTGTAGAGGCAATCAAAATGGCTACTATTCTGACATTTCTTTCTCTTCCAGTTGGCGCTGGCTCTTGTGTCAGTCATCATCTATGGCTGCTTCTTGCATCCTCTCCGCCGCATTCCTGGCCCATTTCTGGCCAAATTCTCTCCGGTTGGTCTCTTCTCTCGATATGTGCGCGAGTGATGATTAAATTATGAGAACAGCTATGGATTATGAGGGCTCTGCACCGCATGCGGTTCAACTCGGAACTGCAGGCTCTCCATCAACAATACGGTAAGGCCCTCAGCATCAACGACCAAAGCTGTTTGACTGACGTGGTTCGTCTGTTTCAGGACACGTCGTGCGAGTCGGACCCAACGAAGTCTCATTTGCTTCACTTGAAGCGGAAACAGCAATTTACGCGAAACAAGAGGATGGTCGCTTTTCCAAGGATGGGACTTTCTTGACGCTTTTCTCGGACCTCGTGTTGAACGCTCCGACCCTCATCACCATACCTGACCCTGCACTTCACAGGAAATTGCACAAGGTGATCCAGCAAGCCTTCACACCTCAAGCGCTTGCGAGGCAAGAACCCATCCAGAAGCTGCATATTGACATGGCCATGTCCGAATTTGAAGAACTTACCAAGAGCGGCGGTACCGTGGATATCGCTGACACGTTGGAGACGATGTTCTGGGAGATCATTGGTGATCTTGCTTTCGGTGAACCTCTCATGTCTGGAAAGCGCCGTAAGTTGAAAGCGGTGCCTTAGGCATGCCGGCAGAAATGATGCTAACGAAGCGTCCCAGCTACTTACGAGTCATTGAAGCAACTTGGTAAATCAACGATGCCCATGGTCGAAGCCTTGAGCTTTTTCCTCGCCCTGCCTGGAATTGCTTCAGTACTTGGGATTGCTAGAAGCCTCATCACAGCATTGCCGTTTCCTTCGCAACTCTCCAAGCTTGTGCCATCTTCGAAGTTGCGCGAGTGAGTATCTGATAACCTCTTGATCATTCCGGTGATATTAATTTCGAATAGCTGCGCCGAAAGGCAAGATGGAAGAGAAGACTTTCTGACCGCTATCATGGGCAGCGAGAAGCAAGACCTGACGCTCGACGCGGATGCATTCTTCAGCAATGCCATGGGCCTGACGTATGTACAAACCAATTTCCTCAATGTGATTTTTGCTTAGAGATACCGCAGCCTGGCCGGATACCAGACAACAGCTACGACACTGTCCGCCACTTTCTACCACATCTTGCGCTATCCTGAGGCGTATAACAGAGTTTGCTTCGAGATCCGCTCGACGTTTGCCAGTGACGAAGAAATCACAGGAGCGCGCCTTGGCAGGCTACCATTCCTGAACGCCTGTATCCGGGAGACCTTGAGGTTGCTTCCACCCGCAAACGGCAAAACGGCGCAGCGTACTGCTCCCTCATGCACCATAGATGGGGTGCACATCCCTGCCGGTACCACGGTCTCCGCTGATCTTTACACAATTCAAAGGTCGCCGGAGTACTTCGCAGATCCCGCCAACTTCCGCCCCGAGAGATGGCTCGATGGTGCGGAAGATACCGAGTTTAAGGGGGACAACAGGACCGCTTATCGTCCTTTCCTCATTGGCAGTAGGGCATGTATCGGCAGGGAGATGGCGCAGCAGAGCATCCGACTTATTGTTGCAAAATTACTTTGGAAATATGACTTTCAGCAGCTGGATCAGAACGGGTTTGTTTGGGAGCGCGACGCTGGCAGTAGTCTCATTTACACGGACTACAAGGTCATGGTGTATGTGATGAATGCCAGCGGCAGATCACAACGTCTTCAAGCATTATCACGCTAAATCGATGTCAATTACTACTCTGGCGCCCTCCCGAATCTCGAGTAAGCGTGCCTCAATAGTATAGAGGAACCTCACGTTAACCTGTTGGCAACCGTAATACTTCCCGGTATTATGGCTTGAAAGTCTACGCTATTTCCCAGCTGTGCTCGAAACCCGTGATACCACAGAGTCGTTGAACACATCGTATCGACGAAAAGACAGCAGTCCAGTCCATGGAGGCAAAAATGACTCAGGTTGACTGGGGTTCAGCCCTGAGGGTGTGCGATATTTTCAAAAGATGGCGTTTCTCGTGTTGAGTAGGCTGTTCTAGCTCCCGCGTGCCGGCGAATAAGGCTGCCAACGTCCCGTGCGGCTGTGGCCGCTATGCTGGCGCCCATGGAGATCTCTGCAGTAGCGCGAAATCTCATTGGCTTCGGATATACCAACCACATGCGTAAAGCGTTTGGTATGAATGGGATCAAGAGCTGCGATCGCCATGCTGCACATTCCAGGTAGCTATTTATCATTCCATGGTGATAAAGCTATGATTACCTAGCGTAAGATCAGTCAGCATCACGTTACACCGATGAGACCCAACCTACTCTACATTAGCAAGGTGATCTCTTTGGGAATTTCTGCTTCCTAAGTTTTCGATGCACTTATGGATGTGAAAACTTGGCTCTGGAGTCGGATACGTCAGATGCTGTGCCGCTTCTCCACATAGCGACTGAGACTCATGCAGTCATCCGTATATCGGCTCTGGCTGTGGGCCCTTGGCTCGTTCCCAGAACGAGACGTACGAGAGTGAGTCGTGGGCCTTCCTATTTTGGGGACCCCTGTCCAGGTCTTGATGCAAGCAGTTTTGACGAAGATAAAGACGATGTACCATTGTGCGTTGTATTGTTGCAGCGCGTGAAGGAGGCCAGCCTCCCGTTGACGTGAGATCGGATGAGCCGATGAACATCACCTATGGATGACATACGAAAAGTGGCAACTAGCCATTGAACGACATGATCCCGTTGGATACCGAGGGGTATGTAGGCCATACTTCCGGGATGTGGACAATGGCTGATCTTCTTGGCTATTCGGACCGTGGAGTGAGGATTGTTGACGATGGCAACTGGTCCTGTAGGACGACCCATAATACTTGACATCGAATATGATTAATTGCTCTGATTTGGACATTTGAGGGAGCAGAAGTAAGAAGGGAATCGTTGCCGACATTCGCCTTTGATTGAGCACCTAGGTTTATTTTGACTCACACATCATTTGTCTTTTCCACAATACCTACTAGAGTATGAATCATGGATTCCCTCGCACTCAGTCCCGTTCAAAGGCAAGGACTTTGACGTAGTCCAGAGCTCGATCCCTTTTCGTGTTCAAGTCATAAAAGCACTTCTGGTTGTCTGCGAAACACTTGAAATGGTTGAAGTATCAGTCCAGCTATATATATCGCTCGTAGAAGTCTCTATCAAAAGACTAAAACGGTATCAACGGCTGGTTCTCATTGTCGGACTTGGCTATCTCACTCATTAAGAATAGACCTCATTTTCGCCAAGGGCAGGTCAGAGCTAGCAAGGGCCCAGAAATTCTTTGAACGATTGATAAGTCTCCAATATATTCAATATTTGTAGATTTTAAATACATTGAAGATGTCAATAATGTTCATTAATGCATGATTATATTATGCTATCTAGAGTGCGAGTTGAATCAACATAGCCAAGTCTGTGACGAGAGATAGACATGTAGCTCGTGACATGACGGGCGTATCCATATGATTACATGTAGCAATTTGGTCATTATCAAGCTGCAACAAACCGCTCCAAGGCATGTATGCACTCTCAAACGACCTTTAACTCCAATACTTAACATCAGCTTGTGCCCGAACAGAGCTTCAGGGGGCATCAAATATGCATGATGTACACGAATTTCCATGTCCAAGAGAAACCCTTGGCCTTGGAAGTACATCGCGTTTATTCCCCATCATTTTAAACTAGAGTCGTGATCACTTCCTGGCGGATTCGAAGCTCATCGAATGATGTCGAAGTCGTCATCTTTCACTTTCGAACGTAAATCACTGCAGCAATTTTCGCAGATACTCGTTCCAGACAGGTGTCCGAGCAATCAGCATAAGCGGAATCAGAAAACCAAATATGTCTTTCAAAATTTTGGCCTAGTCGAGCGGAGATCGGCGTCAAACAAGGTCACTTGATGTTTCGAGCAAGGCCTACCCCGTCCTACCGAGCACTGTGCCAAGCGCTTTCTGCGAGCCTCCGATGAATAGCATATCCTAATTCATGTAACGTATCTCTAGAAGGCGAACCTGGAATTGGGCTTTGGTCCGGCTGCTCTCGATAATATACTCGCCTGTGACATTCTCATCCCAGTCCACTTCTCCGAGTTGGTCTTCTGCCATATCACTCACAGACGATAATGGACTCTCAGCCAAAGCGTGGCCGGGCTTTCGTGGAGCACTAGTTAGTGCCCAGGCCTTCTCCTGGACAACTGTGAACCAGACGTCTATGATTAAGGAGCTGAGCTGGTGTAGTGATAGACTTTGGCCCGGAACACTCTCTGCTATGTGTGCGAGATCAACACCTGCCGTATTAACCTGAGGATAATAATCAACGATGGTGAAGGAGTTGGAGTTGAAGACTGAAGTGGGAATAGGCTACACCCTGGTAAGATTCTGCGAGGCTCTCAACGACGAGCCCCTGTCGGGTCCATACGAACCTATCTTTCTCAGCTCCAAATTGGTAATCATCACATTACCAATTTCAGAGATAGCATTACGTTCGTGAACAGACAATAGTGGTGTGCGGATTCGCACAGGTTGTGTGCCGCTTTCCCACCGTTTACTCATCATCGAGCTTCGGTGAGGGCATGCATCCCCGGATTCCTTCCGATGCCCCCCTCCGTGCTCACAGGATGAGAGAAACATGTATAATTGGCGAAGCCTGCGGATATGAGTCTGCTGTATCTACGCTTTGCAATTTGCGTCCAGCACAGGCGTGGTCACGAGCCTACATCTGCATGAGCATAATGTGGCCATCGGCCTTGGTCCTAACGCCTCCATCACGCCATCACGATCTTGTAAGCTACAAATGCTAGTCTTTCAAAGCATGTAGCTTATCGAGACAAAAAGAAGCTATATAGCACCTGCCGGGCTTTCGGTGTCTCATCTTGGTGAGGCATGGCAACACTTCCGTATGTCCCCTCTCTGAGGTGCAGCTCATCTTGGAAACTACATCAAAATTACAGTCTTTAGGAAGTGTATTAGTGTGGAGTCACAGGTTATACACTGTGTATCATCTTCTCAGAGGCCTCCTGTAGTATCGGGACCATGGAGGAGACTAGGGGTTGTTGTAGTGATGAAATGAGGCTTCTGAGGCACTCCCTCCTTATTTTACTCGGCTCTAAATTTATTGATCTTATGGCATGGGAGGAAACTTCGTACCTTGGACACCTTAAGAAATGGGGCTTAGCTCCGGTAACAAGTGCCCAAGTTCTCAGAATTGGCTTCGCCACCATAGTGTAATAGAGGGCTGGCTACCTCGGTATGACATGAGCACAGGAAGTTCAACAACACCGAAGTCAAATATATTATATATTAAGTGACCGGAATCCAATCGAAGACAACTAAGCCTGTGTAAATTGTATAGAACATAATTTGCTTCATAAGACATTCGAATATAGGTTTTCAGACCTTCCGGTCTGCGACTGTGGTCAAGTTGGAACACCTCCGTCACAAAATCGCACTCTTACGGCTTCAACACGAAGATCGCGGACAATACGTGCTAAGAAGAGCTCACTCTAAAATTCGCAATACTGCAGTAGAAATAGTGATAGCAGAATGCTTGCCGGATGAAGCTATTAAGAGCAACACTTTGCGCCTTGAGTATTTCAGACCCGCCAAAAGTAGAAGCTTGACTGTGCGATCAAGCCGAATGAAGTCCAAGACATGGAAATTGAGACTCATTTTGCACGTAGAAACGTGTGGTCAAGGTAACACCTGGTAAGAAGATCCTCTTAGCATACACTATTCGAAATATATCAGGTAACATCATATTCTCAAGTGCTCGGTGGTAGCTTCATAGATCTACTACAACCAAAAGGAAGTGGTAGTCTGAATAATTATACTCACCAGGGACCTAAAACTCAACCAGGTATCCAAAAACATCAAAAGACATACAACACCAGGGATTCGCTGGTCGTCACCGACCCAACTACTAGTCTGGCCCTCACTGGCTTATCTATGGGAGAGCGGACGGGATCCCGAGTTCTCCAGTGGGTGTGGTCGTATGTGATGATCCTGACCAGTTGGACCAGCCAAGGAGGGCCGAGTCGAGGGGAGAGGTGCCGCGGAGCCAAAGGTTGACGATGCCCAACAAATTCCCGACTAACAACGAGAGAACATCATGTAAAGTTATGACTAATACTTTCTTCGAGCCTACGCCTGACCTCAAAACGCCGCTCCCCCCTAATGCTTCTATGTGTATCGTTTCCGGGTCTTCCGGACTTCATTAAGAAAAGGCCGTAAAGGGTATGATTTGGAGAACACGAAAGGAAAAATCGGAAAATAGACACAACGCTCCACCGGCTCTGCTCATTTCCGGGTAAACCGAGAGAAGAAACTCTTCTTTGGCTCCTTGTCCTTGTCTTTCTCCTTCTTGAGACCCCTCGACTTGCTGGCCTCTTCTTGGGTATTGAGCTGCGTCGTGTTGTCGTTCATGACCTGTTGAGCATGCGAGACAGTTCCAGGGTGAGGACCCGGCGGTGGGCCCGCTGGTGGACGTGGTGGTGGCGGCGGTGGTGGAGGGCCCGGATGACCCGGAGGCGGCGGACCGGGGGGCGGTGGACCCGGAGGCGGCGGTAGCGGAGGCAGTCCGTACTGATACTGCGGCGGATACGGGTTCTGTCCGGGTGGTGGCGGGAACGTATACGACATTGGCGGTCCGCCAGGGGGCGGTGATGCAGGTGACGGCGGCAGAGCGTAGCTTTGTGGTGGGGCCTCGAGCATCGGTAGCTGGTTCTGCTGCTCCTGCTTCTGCTCGTCTGAGAAGAGGTCGATGACCTTGCCGGAGCTGAAGAGTCTCTCGTACACGGCGAGCGTGGTGCCAAAATCCTTGTGGCCGTCGACTTTGACGGCGTCGAGGAGCTCCAGGACGTAGGTTTGGCAGTTGTTGGTGATGAGGTTGTAGGCGGGCTGCCGTGATCTGATGCTCTGAATGACGTATTCGCCTGCGCGACGGATGGCGTCGTCGTTGAAAGTTGTCTCTCCGACGGTGAAGGTGCGCCATTCTTCGCGTTTATATCGCTCATTGGTGTAGATGACGTGAAAGCTCTCATCCTGGATGGGGTGGGTTAGGTCATGAAAGGGGAGCGATGAGTGAGTGAGGAGAGGACTCACCATCCACAGCTGGTGGGCGTAGTCGCCGACCAGGACAGCCCAGTGCTGAGTGGGATCGGGATACTTGTTGATCTTTTCTGTGATCATCTTCCCCAGACCCGTTTCTTCGGCGAACCACTTGCCGGCGAGGCCTCCGACGGGATGCCAACCGACCTCAACGACACGTGAGGGGCCATTGATGACGGGCTGTGTGACTGGGACGACATTGGGGGTCTGGCCCAAGCCGACGGCATGCTTTAAGGCGAGTTCACCTTTGTTGTAATTCTTCTTTCTGTCATTGAGTCAGCGCAATTCCCTCAATCATTGACGGTGAGCATGGCGGTGTAGTCAAGCGATGGTTGACAATGAGGGGTTGGAGCCTCGTAGGGCTGGAATGGGGGAGGGGTCGCAAGATGCGTAAAGTGCATAAACTGGGAAAAGATGACGCGCATACAGGAACTCTCCCACTTTGTCCCGCTTTCTCTTCCCTTCCTCGTCGGATCCCGGTTGTGACATTGCGATATCCCAACGGCGCGGCGCGGGTTTAATGGGGTCAAATGTGTGTGTGAAGTCGGGTTGCGGGGGGAGGAAGGAAGGATTAAGTGAGCGCCGATAAGCGGCCAATTTAGCTCCGGTGCAACAAGGAACGGCGAACAGTGACAGACAGGTAAATTGGTGTTGTTTGTTTGTTGGTTGGATGGGGGCGTCAGATCTTGGAAGGGGAAAGGGGAAATAATTGGGGGGGGAGCAAAGGCTGGGCGTCTTACAAATGGGAGGCCTTTGGACGGGAGGACGGAATACACGGCAAGTACGGAATTCGACCATCAGAGAACAACAAGAAAAATAAAACCAAGGCAGAATAAACACGATTACCGATTGCGAAACTTGCCATACGACCACAATCCACTGCCTCGATCCGATGGGCCTCGATGGCCGCGGGTTCGGGCTGACCGACACGTGGAGGCGCATTAACAATTTTTTAATCTAATTTCCAGCTGCACCGCGCCTCAGCTTGACCAATCAAATTCACGATGCGGCATCGAGTTGCTCTCTTCGGGGGCTAAAATCCACGCGGCCAAAGCGGCGCAGGCCTTGTTTTTATTTTTTTGCAACCACAGCAAGGCACAGTTGAGGCCGGAGCACAGCTGAGATGGGATGCAACAAGTAACAGCAGCAAGCCGCGGGTTCCGTCTGTCCAGCACTAATTGACCTCATGCACAGTCAACGGGCCGGTCCGACAAGGCTTCTTTCAACCTCTCAATGCCGTTTGATCACCAATGAAGGACCGTTGAGGACTGCCTTTGCCGCCTCCCGATCGGATTTTAGCCATCTCTTGGCAGGCACCCGTTTCTCAGTGTGGAACTCAATACGCGTACTCAGTACGACAAGTCTTGCGCTCATATGAATGAGACGAAGGGATTTCATAGGACTGCCTCCTCGCTCATAATCGTTCCATTGCTGTGAGCCAAACAGTCCAGGACCCGGACATATGGCAATGCATGATCGACCATTATGAGACGGAGCGAAAGCATCACATCTGTGCAAGCTCGGGCCCATCGTTCACAAGTCTAGTCGTCATCCTTTTGGTGAGACTCGGCTGGCGATAATAATTTCATCACTTAGATCTCCCGTGAGTAAAGATGACCACCTCTCATCAACCCTTATCTCACATGAGCCTTGAAATGACTCAGCATGCTTTTTGTTCAGATGATGTATGCTTCCTGACGTTCAGCCATCTGATCACTGAGCTCATGCCTGTCTACTCACTCTCGTAAATCCAGCGATAGATTTGGTGAAATTGTCTGCATAGGTACGCCTTGCGAGAAGCTCAATACAATCTTGTCGCTACTGTCACTGAGTATGCCGTAGTTCATTTCGGATTCACAGGGATGTCCTCTATCATTTGTCTAAATGAGCAAGTCCGATACAGAGTTTCAATGACTAGACTCCTGGTTCCTGACTGCTGATGAGCAGCTTTTTCATGTCATAGATGATCGAAAAACGTCTTATTCATCATCAACCTTCGAACATATTGAAACTGTGAGACCATGACAAACATCATCGAGAAATCCTCAACGTTATAAGATGTGCCACCAAATCCCATCAATAGACACTTCTCTCGCATCTAAGTAATCCAAGCCTCAACAACCTTCTCCGCCCTCATCGCATCCTCCAAAACCGCCTTCCGCCTCTCCTCCCCTCTCGGCACAAACTCAACCTCAAACCTCTCAGGCCCCATAACAAGATCAGAATGGAACCCAGTCTCGATACTCGTATCTAACCTCTTCCCCCGCGCAGGGACAACATCAAACTCCCACGCCAGCTTCGCAATCGTCACCAAAATCTGGTTCTCGGCATAGTCCAGCCCGGGACACATCCGCCGCCCCGCCCCGAAATTATACGTCGGGTGCCTCTTCTCCCGCTCCGCCGCCGCCGCCAGCTCCGGCCGCACGCCCCACGGGTTGTCCATGTATCGCTCCGGTAGGAACTCGTCCGGCCGGTCGTACCACGCTTCGTCCTTGTGGATCCCGTATGTGTTTGTCAGGAACCTCGTGCCTTTGGGAAATGTGTAGCCGAGGTAGGTGTCTTCATTTGCGAGGACGCGGGGGACACCCGAAGGCGCAGCGGTGCGCCAGCGCATGGCCTGCGTGATCGATTCTCGTTAGCTCTCAATTCCGGCCAGCAGAAGAGGGAAGACTCACCTCATTGAAACAAGCCCTCAGATACTTCGCCCTCCCAAGATCCTCAAACCCAGGCGTCTCCCCAGGCCAAACCTCATCAACCTCCTCCTGGAGCCGCCTCTGCATCTCCGGATACGCACCCATAATAAGCACAACAGTACTCGTAGTAGCAATGACAGTATCAACAGCAGCATCCAACGTCCCCGCCCCCAAAACAGCAAGCTCATGACTCCCATACGTCGGCCCCTTCCCCGCGACCTTACTCGCCTCCCCCTCCCGAACCATCCTCGCCATAACCGACTCCGTCTCCTTCCCCCTCCTCCCGCTCGCAATCTCCGCAGCCTGCGCTTTAGCCCCGTCGAGCATGTGGTACATCGTTCCAAACATCCCCTTCTTCAACGTTGCCGCCTCCCGCTTCCACCCGGCGAGGAACGCGGGAAGGTACTTCATCACGGGGAACAGGTCCACCGGCGGCGCTTGCGCGGGCGTGAGGAACCGCAACCACATGTCCTGCGTGGCGAAATACGTCTTCGTCGAAGCGACTTCATCGCCCTCCGCGACACGCTGCCCGCTCATCACAGAAAGCGGCGTAGCAAGAGCCCAATGTCTCAAGTGCATATGAAACTGCCCCGGATCGTCCAGAATCATCTTCATCAGCAAAGCAGCATGCGCCTCCTGTACCTGAACCACACGCTTCAGCTCACTGGGACCAAACAAGTGATTCCGCAGCGCCGTGCGCAGCTTCTTGATATGATGATCATTATTCATAAACAGGATCGTGCCGGGGTTGATGAGCGTGCTTGTGATGTACGGCTGCGGTCTATCCGAGTATATTGCGCCTCGCTTCTCGTACAGTTCTCTGATGTGTTCTGCGCTAGAGAGGATGACGTAGTTTTCGGTGCCGATTTTGATGCCGAAGATGTCGCCGTAGGTCTTGCTCCATTCTTGGAACTTGAAGAAGGCCTTTTTGGGCGGGAGTTGGAGGGCATTGCCGAGGATTGGGATGGGAGGCGGGCCGGGGGGGAAGTTGGGTGGTCTTCGTGTTTGGAGGACCCATTGGGTGAGGAAGTAGAGGAGGACTACGGCAGGGAGAATCAAGACGGCCGGGGAGCCGAAGAAGGATATGAGGCTCATGGTGGTGGCGATGTCTCTTGTTGTGGAAGAGCGAGTCGTCAAGGAGAGAGGGATGCGATCACGCGATCATACAATGTGGTCAAGGGCAGAGAGTTGAGAAGTCCTCGCACGTTGTCCCTCGGAAAGCAAACTACCCCTCGTCAACCCTCCTTTTATGCTTATCCATCCCTCTCAGCAACCTAATCAACATGATCGCCATCGAAGCTCGTGTAACTTTCGCCAAACACCTACTTGCGCGGCTCACGACATCTCACTCGCATCATGTCGTGACATCGGCACTCTTCCCCATACCCGACTGGACAAGACCGATGTTCCCCACATAAGATGACCGTTATGATGACCGTCCGACGTTACAGCAAGAAGCAGGCTCATTGAATGTACATTGTGTTTCAACGGTCGATCCGCCGTTGGGGCACAGTTCAGTTGGTCCAACATGATAGCATACCGTACGTAGGATGAGAACATTTGGCTACGTGTAACCATCCAACATCCCCTCTCGACGCGGAGTCGGCTGCCATGATCAGATCAAATACCTGCAAGCGATTGCGGGCCGAAAAGGATTTTGGCTCGAGCGGCATGCAGTCAGCGACGCGATATACGACGCTGGCATGCGAGGACAGGCATCCGCGGCGTAAGCAGAGTTGGAATCATACCAAAAAACACACTTCCAACGACATTCTCGTACCTGGGTATTAGCCAATCAGTTCAGAGGATTTCGTAACCTCGTTCGTTCAAGAGATCTTTGCCTAATCTGATAGACAATGGACGTATTGACAGTAATTGCCGTTGCCCAGACATACCAACGGGGCTTACTTAACAGGAAAGCTATAGCTACCGCCTCGCCACGTTACATGCCGTCAGGATTTGCCGCTCTCCCTCGGCGAGATATTGCCAGACCGGAAGAATGGCAAACGAGTCAACGATCAACCCCACCCATAAGAATCACGGAAACCAAAAAAAGAACAGCTTAGACCTGATGTTAGTCATTTCCGAAACCGAGAATCGAACTCGGGGCTATGCCTAACCTCTCACTGGAGATGAGAGGGCATCATGTTGGCCACTACACCATATCGGATGGGTTGATGAAGATTTCTCTATAGTGGAGGTCTACATTCGGTTAGCATCCGGTGGAGCGGACCCTCTGCTCACGTTGGCGGTCATCACGCGATGTGGGGTTTGGGACTCTAAAAGAGCCCACTTGGAGGTTGCATCACGCAGCTGGACAGGAAAGATCACGTAGCTCATCAGACACTGGATTTCACGATGCTTCAGATACGGTGTTGGTTCTGAACTTTCATTCGTCATCAGGATGCGTATCCTATTCATGATATCTGTCGGTCCCTGCTCCATCCTCAGAGGCAGCGTGCAGATTAGCCTACATATACAGTGTACACTTTTTGGTCTTTTAGACGCCGAGGAAAAGCCTGCCACATCATCCGCAGCGACGGCGGTGTCCAACAAAGGCACGAAGACCTGGCCTGGTATACCATCAACTCCGGTCCGTCCATCCATCTAAAGAGCAGCCACCATCCAAAACCACCAAAGATAGGATACACAATGGAACAAGACATCCTTCCTCCAACCAACTCTTGAGCGAGTGAAGGTTGAATCCAACAAGGAGTGTAGATGACTCCGATATCCACAAGCAACCCACTTCTGGTCGCTGTCGAACAAGGGAGAATGAGATATTTCCCAGAATGCAGGAAAAATGTGATAAGTCGATTCCAGCGCCGCGCGTTCTCGGGTCCGGCGGGTGTGGCCTCAAGCCCAGACAAGAAGTGCAGGGCAAGAAAGCAGATTAACGCCGTGGGTAGTGCCATCCCAAGGATGAGACTTTTCATGACATAGTACCTCAATAAGAGGTTAGAAAAATTGGGTATCAAAAGTGAAGCAGAATAAGGGGTAAAGTATGTCGCCGGAAATGTGGAAATGATGTTGTCCGTTCGATCAAATGTTGTCGCAATATGGTATGCTTCGTTTGTAGCCTCACATCGGTGTGGGCGTCGGGGCACCTCGGTCTCGGCTCATCCAGCCAAATAGGTCGCCGCGGCCCTGGGTGCTAGTGTTGCTGGTCTGGGGCTCAATGGGGGTTCGCACAGCCATCTCCCGAGGCTCCAGGAGTAGACTCTTGCGGTAGTAGCTGACTTGAACATTGCCTTGGTCGCTCTCACGAACACGCACAATCTGCGCCGCCATCCAATCCTGCATCTCGGGGATCTCAGTCAACCGATAAGGAATCTGAAATCGTTGGAGCTCTCCGATGATCTTGGCAGTGCGGGTGTGCTTATCGAAGTTGACGACGGTGAGACCACCGCCATTCTCCTCGCAACCATCGCCACCGAGAGTAGGAATTTGCTTGGTCGCAGGGTTGCCGATGTCAACAAACGTCAAATCCGTCAAGAACATGCCGAGGAATGGCAAGCAAGGAGGGACGTGGTCGTGGAGGCGGGTCCGGAGAACTTTGTTGTTCTGTGCGGGCTCGACAATGGCCTGCAGCGTGCGAAGCATCTCGCGGCGCTTGACGGAAACAATGTCCCACGTCTTGCGCAGACGGCTGATTGTACTGCTGTTCAGACTGCAGATGATGGCCATCAAACCATCGTAGTTGTGGAGTTCCAGGCATTGATGAGCAACCTTGATCCACTGCTTGATGACGGCTGCACGCTTCTTGACTTCCGAGTGCTGCAAGATTGTCTCTGCGACGAGATTAGACAGGTCAGTAGACAGGGCTGACATAGCCTTGACGTTGGGTGCATCGACACCGCCCTTCTTCATCCATTGAGAAGCAAGAAGTTCTTCGGGCATGATGGAGCAGAAGATGTTCATCTGTCTAATGGTGAGCTGGCGAGCGATCTCGAGAGGCTCAAAGTCCAAGACAGTGGGGTTGCTGCCGCCGTTCTTCCAAGCAAACAGCTGGTGAATTTGGCTTTTGGTCAGGGCCAAGGGTGGATGCGGCGTGTCGGCCGGGATGTACTGCGCAATCGAAGTGTTCGTCTTGCCCATGGAAGACACAAGGCGCGGGACAAGGGCAATGTCCTTGGCAACGCGCTGAGCAAGTTCCAGAAGTCGCCGGCCAGCGGAGGGCAACACTGCACCAAGCTCGTACTCCGCAAAGGGCTCAATGAGGCTAAGGGCTTCGCGGTCAGTCTCGTCGCGCCAGTGCGATTCGAGCCAACCCTTGAAGGCGTTGTATACACGGAGCCTGACTGGGCCGGCCATGTGGGGTGCCTCAGCTACGTAGTGGAATCGATCGATGAGAGTCTCGGCCAGCTTGAGCGGGCTACTGAACAAACGGAATGTGAGGTAGAAAGTTGACACAAAGGTAGCGTCGGGAGTAGATTCGTGGGTTGTAAGACGCTCAACGAGGGCTGGGAGGGAACCGCCCGTGACTTGGCCCTCCTTGTTGAAAATCAGCTCATGAGCGTAAGTCTTCTCGAGCATCTTAGACTCGACATCGTCAACTTCTTCGTTGATGGCGTTTGCACTTCCAGCGTTGCTAAGCTCTGACATGGAAGGCTTGAGCTTTGGTGCCAAAGAGTGATCGGGCGTGGTCGCGCGTGTAGATGTTTGAGAGACCAAGCTAGCCTCGGAGTCTCGGCTGAGATAAGTGCTGCTGCTGCCCGCGCTCGAGGCAGCCATACTGTCAACACGGGAGGAATTGTTGTAGTCGCCATCCTGGTTTTCGATGGGGCTGTATTCATCTCCCGGGAGCAGGGATGTGGACAGTTTGGGGAGAGGTGGCAGAGTCGGCCGCATCGATGATACGGAAGACACCATGTTCGCAATGTGTTCATTGTTAAGTGAAGACGGTCGGGAATTAGGTGCAGAAGAGTTCTGAGAGGAAGGCCGACGTCGGTGACCGAGAGGTTCACTACCATCGACGGGTGGTAGTTGAGGCAGTGGCTTGTCGTTGGCGACGAGACTCGGTCGTTGCTGGTGGTGGGGCGTTGGCGGCACAACGGAGTGCATAGAGTCAGAACTTCTAGTCGACCCCGCGACACTGGTCGCCTCGGTGGTTGTTGTTTCTGCAACGGACGGTGCGATTGATGGCCTCCGGTATTGCGGCTCGAGGGCAACATCGAGAACGCTTAGATCGATGCCCAGCTCGCCGGCCTCAAATTCGCATTCGAAGTCGCCAACACGCTCAATCGCCCACTTGGTCTTGGCTACACACTCACCAGCAGCCTTCACGCAGCCTGTTGCTGCCATCAACAACAAACTGTTGTCCTGTGGCATGATAACATCGGCATCCTGGAACACCGCGTGACGGATGATCTGACCTGCCGCTGTTACCAACTCCCGGATGCGCTCAAACATCATATCCCTCGCTCTAACCAGCATATCAGAGCTGGTGCTCTGACCACACACGATGTCCACAACGGCCAGCAACTCCCCACCAGACGTCGCCGAAAGTTTGATGGCGAAGGCCAACTCCGGCCGAGACTGGGACTGCAAGTGCAGACGGCCGATGAAGGAGCCCAGGTGGGACAGAAAAGTATCGTGGCTCTTGTTGAGGCGTTCCGAGACAAGGTGATGCGGTCTTGACAGGGGCGAAGGGCCAGCCAATGAGACGCGATGTGAGATGCTGGATGACAGCCGTTTGACATTTTGAGACATGCGGTGCGAGTTGGGACTAGCGGGGGACTGGAGGGTCGAAAGCCGCCTGCTATTCGGTGCGTTCGACGTTTGTGCCGCATCGCCTGTTTGTGAGTGCGTACCCCTGGTGGGTGTTCCGTTCGTCGGTCCTCGGGAAGCTGCATTATGAGTTGCATCGAACTTGATTTGATCTGCAGGTGGCGTCGGCGGGATGTAGGATTCTTCAATGACGGTAGCCATGACAGTCACTGCGGGGGCGCGTTGCCTACGATCATCCTCAAGGATGTCGAAAAATCTCACACCCTTGGTCACGATCTTGAAAGCCTTCAGGATCATTTCGTCAATGATATCATTGACATCTTCTGTCGGCTGGGCAATGCCCTTTTGGGCCTCTTGCAAACGCTTTGCCGTCTTTACCAAGGCCGACAACTCGGAAAGTAAGGTCTTGCGTGCGCGCCGCAGACTTTCGTTGCGGGTTATGATGGCCGACTCCCTCGTCAAGCAGTGCGTACGTTCCTTTTTGATAATGTGAGTAAAACAGCAACAGGAGGGGACGTGGCACAGAGTCAGAAGCTTACCAACAGATAGCGTACTCCCGCGATGATACCCTTCATGAATTCTTGATTGCCGAAAATCTCGCTGTCGTTTACTGATGTGCTTCGCAAAAGGTCCCAGAAGTTGAGCAATGCTTTCAAAAGGTTCCTCATCTCTTCCGGGTCATATGCCTCGCAGTAGTTGGTTGGAAGCCATCCCCTTGCGCCTGATACCAGCAGGGTTCCATCAGCCCATCCATTGGTGTGAATTGAGTGCACCAGAATAACATCTCCCTCGTTCAATGGAAGAGTAACGCTCGAGTCGGTCATGGCATAGCTTGGATGGAAAGGATAAAAGGCTCGCAGGAAGTTGTGAAAGACCGGTGGTGGCAGCTGGTCGGCCGCCAGGTCTTCCTGCGAGCCATTGGGTGTTGCGGGCGGCGTCATGTGTGATGCTGTGTACGACTTGGAACTGTAGTGGTCTTGTTTCGAGGACAGAGCATCGCAGGATCTGGATTTGTGAAGCTTGAGAGGGGCCACTTGGAGGCTGGCACGCATGGAATGGTCGCTCAGCATTACCATGGCTGCTGCTGGTAGATCTCGTAGAAAAGCATGGGCAACAGTCGTGTAAGCGATGTGCGCGCGGTTAATAGTCGTTGAGTTTCGAGGCCGCCTCCTCAGTCGGGTCCAGGTCCGATAATGCAGTCGTAAAGTCAGGTTCAACCTATCCCTCAAGTACGGTATCGTCCTGCTGCGCCTTTGCTGTGGCCTCGTGCGGGTATCGGATAGGTCAATGGGTGCCGGTGCTTCGTCCACGCAAAGGTCCAGTCGATTCGATCCAAGAGATATGCGCCTCTGGCGTTGTGTGTGTGTGTGTGTGTGTGTGTGTGTCCTTCCCTGAAGAGCAGTCGCGAGTCGCAAGTCCCTACTTCGATTGGGGTGATGTTGTTATTGTTATTGCGGTCAGGTGTCGAGATCGAGCTGTCAAGCTGATGTTGACAGTCAGTTGACGGCGGAAGAAGTGAACAGAGGAACAGCCCGCTTGGCCTGTGTGCAAGGTGGTTTTGATGGGAAGACGTAGAAGTTATGGAATGTAGGGAGGAGATGACGGGCATTGATGTGGGAGGGGAATAGGCATAGCAGGAATGTCATAGCCCTGGGACAGACGTGTTGGAGGGATCCTTGCCCAATGCTAATGGTGGATAGTTGCATACCAGGACCAGGGCTTGACTCAAGGTTTCGGGAGCCCAAGAAGAGGCCCTCCCATGTGAGTGCCCAAAGCGAGCGGACGATCACGTAGTAGGGAAGAGTGGAGGGTGGACTTCTGGAGGGGGGTGACCAGCCAGGCCAAGCGTCCGGGAACTTTGGAGGGTGTGTGGATGAAAGATGGAGGGATGGGCCTCTGTTGGATCATGGATGGATGGGCAAATGGGTGGATGAATGTACCGTGCCACACCACATTGTTCCCCTGCCCGGTACGGATAGCGTGGCGTACGTACCTTTTTGCCTTTGCTCGACGAACGGGGTTCTCTTGGTTTTATTTTTTTCTGATTTTTCTTTTGGCCAGTTTGTCGACGTTGAAGATCAGTTGGGGCCGCCCGCAAGACTAAGAGATTAGTGCGCTGCTTGAGGACTGGCTGGGCTTGCGACGGAGGCAAGCTTAGTCTATCGTGCGTCAGTCTGGCGTCTTTTGTCTCCCGAGGGACGGCAACACGCGACCCTTGAGAGGAACAAAGAAAGAGCTCGAAAGCCCTAGCTACCCGTTTCGCGCGTTCGTGGTGCGGATGGGATGGATGAGCAACAGGCGAGGAAAGCAGTGAGTGGCATGAATTGGATCGGATACATAGGCAACGGCGTTACGGAGTACGAAAGAGGAGAGCTGCTCCGTTCATAGTGAAGAGACGGCATGAGCAGAGGCATGTCACCGCCGTATTGACCTTCCCTTGGACCACCCGGTTCGCTCAGGTGTGTGGACGGAGCATGTATGCAGGAAGCTGGTGAAGTGCCAGCGCCAGGGGGAGGAGGACGGGGGAAAGAGAGAATGCGCAGAAGAATGAGAGAAGGCGCGAGGAATGCAATAGTTGTGATGTTCTGCTCGTACCTTATGCATGTGCATATGCAGTGAAGCTCGAGCGAATGTGACGCTGAGTCGTCCTTGGGGGTGTACCGTGTGACAAGCCGACAGGCAAGACAGACAAGATGCCGGCCGAGGCGCCGCGGACGCAGGATGCAAGACGCAGGTTCCGTCCCGTATCCCATCCACCCCTTGACCAAGGTACAGTAGCTCCTAGACTCGGCCCTCGCCCAGTTTTGCACCGTATGATCGGAGCCAAAGACACCCTAGGAGTCGGCAATGCAGCAACGCGGCGAAGTGAGCTGTAGAGTGTAGACAATAGCTAGCTGGATCGGTCCAACACTCCAAAAGGATAGGCAGAACGACATCGACAGTTTCTTTAATGGCAATCTGAAGACACAAAACGAAGAGTAAGAGTGTTGAGACTACCTAGTGCAATGTTCCTTGGTGAAAACTGCGCAGGGCCGGCGAATGTTGCATCTTCAACGAGCTCTCTGCATCTTGGACAGCCCTCGGACGGTGCTGTGACCCGTGAGGTTTGGAGGGAGGCGCAAAAGTCGAGCGCACTGATGCCATGATATAATGAGGGGAAATGGCCAGCGGCCGACTGGAGGTGCCGTGCGCGCGGCTGTCTTTGATTGCCTGCCGCCGGCCATGGGTGAATAGCCAGACCATTGCAACAGATTTGACGCGACGAGGGCCAGACGAGGTCAGATACTCGAGGCCACAACTTGGCAAGGCGAAGCGCGAGGGGAGGGAGGCGCCGTGGTGAAGTCTTGGGCTATGGCGATGCGCTCGGATTGCTGGTTTACAGCATCAGACGACAGGTGCCGACGGGAGAAGGCAATCTCAACACGTTGTTCATCAAGCCGAGCCATGGAACTATTCGGAAGACATACCAGCCCATGAGCAGGTAAATGCCAGCAACGCTCTTGCATTGCTTCTCGAAAGGCCGCGGCAAATTGCTGTTTTCGACAAGTATCGCAAGTTCGCAACCACGAACCACGGCATCTCCTGCCGCATCTTAGGTCGCATTTGTTTCTCCTTCTTGGGCATAGACAGCAACTTCCTTCCAAAGCTCAGGTCTGTCTCTCTCCCTCTCTCTTGACTCTTGACTCTTTCTCACGGACTGCGCCACCAAAGTGCGAGGCGCAAAGGAGACTCGGCGGCGGGCAGCAGCGGACGCCACCATGATTCCGAATGGAAGGAAACCACATCCATCCCCAAGTCTTTCCCCCTTATGACTTTGTCCTTCCGTTGTAATCCACGATTGCTTCCAAATTTGCGTCGACGCTCCAATCCGATGCTATCTTCCATCTCCCAACTCCACCTCTTTCCGTGTTGCGTTGCTTGCCCACATGTATTCCGGAGGCGGAGTAAGGTGAGCCCAGTACTTTGCTGGTTGCTTCGTCAGCTAGAAAGTGTGATTCGTACACTTGCTGCGTCAGTGGCCTGGGTTTGCGTGAGAGCAAACCCCTTGCTCGCAGCGGCCTGGTCCCAGCGGTCCCTCCCAACCTAACGGCTTGCCCCTTGCCCTTGTTCGACGTTTTCCCTCCTCATCTTCTTTTCTTTTTCTTCCCGCCCAGCTCCCTCCGTCCCCCTCCCCCGGTATTGAGACCCTCACACATACACACGACACGCCCTTGGGCGTGCTCTGTGGACCAACTGGCCTACGTAGTAGTTGACAAAAACCAATTGCACCAACATATGTGTACCTGGACTGGGTGGCCTGGGAGCTAGGTCCATCGACAGGGGGGGCTTCTTAGTGAACGACGGGGTCTCTCCCGGGCCTTAGTCTAGGGCTAGGGAGGAAGCCATTCCTGGCTTGCATCCATTTCCTTTCCCTCTTCCCTCATCTGAGAGGGAGTGTGACGCCGAGTTGTCGACGAAGAAGCGTGATGGTAAAATAAAAGTGAATGACCAGGGGCAAGCCGTCGACCGTCTGGAGAACTTTTGCACTGCGGTATCAGTGCTGAAGGCTGCCATTATTCCATCGTCCTGATTCCGATCATTTCATCAGACTCACGGGCGCTTGTTTGGGACGCCAAAACCTGAACTGCAGCCCCGAACAGAGCTTGTGGCGTTGCCTCCTTCTCCTACTCGTTTCCCTTGCTGTTTGCTGCCTGCAGGGCAGGTTCCGCTTGCCAGGGAGAATACGACGAACGACACATCGACTCAGCTCAGGGCAAAGTTGGCAAGGAAGTTGACGTGTGTTGCGCAGCCTACGATGCAGACGAGACGAGTCAACCGACAGAGCTCCTCTCTGCCGGGAACAAGGACCGCAGTGCCCTCTTCTCTTTTCGAATATCTCGGTCTCGAGTCTCGTGAGTCGCGGTCTCGGCCCTTGTGCCCTGCACTTCGTCATCATGCCCTCCCCCAGCTTGCTGGGTCCAACGCTTCCAGTCTCCAGTCTGTTTGCGGGCTAGCTCATGGCAGTGGATGCTCATGGTCTCGGGAGCAACATCGTTGGTGATAGTATACCCTTGTGAAAAGCTTTTGACCACAAGTGCTGGGCTAATAATCTCTGCCATGTCTGGTTGACGGGTGATCTGATGAGCAGCTCCCACACGAGGCTCGATCGTGCTCACTTGCATTGGACTCCCTTGTCATGCCTTTCCGTCTCGCCTCTTGCGTAGGGTCGTAGGCCCAGTAAACACTGCCAATAGCACCAGCCACTGTTTGTCCTATCTAGAGATGGGTCGCGTCACCGAGAGACGATTCCCCGGTCTACCGTCTGCCCCCGAGTCGAGGCACATTTTGACTTATGCCACACCACCGGTCTTGCGCTGGATCCCGGGCTTCGGCCGTCTAAAATCCGGCTTGTTGCCGAGCGTGGATGTCAACCTACCCATGGAACAGCCGCTATGAGTGTGGTTGATCAACCGTCGTTCAACGATTTTGTACAGACACCAGACATTTTCCGGCTATTTTGGACACTGTTCATCACCGGCCGACGAGCAGACGAGAAGTACGGCAATCCATGTGATGTGCCCTGTAGGCCGCGACCTACCGGAACCTCGCATTCTCTTCTTTTGTGAAGCTGGGGATTGTGCCATGATGCTCGTAAAGGGATGCGGAGCATTAAAAGAGTGTGGATGTGCTACAGCGTTCCCATCTATCCAGTCAATATTCGGGCCCGGGGACCCTTTTTCGGCCGCGATGCTCCATTCAAATCGGGGAAAGCCCACTGAATCAGAGGTTCTGTCTGTTCCGTCGCTCTTTGCAGCCAGCTGTCTTCAATGCTAATTATTAGTAATAACCGACTCGCCCAAAAGATAGCCAGCGGAGACACGACAGGTCGCGCCGGCATGCTATAGACGCCCGCTTAACATGGCAAGGTTGGTGGACTTTTGGGTGCTTGTCTTGGCCCAGCAACCGAACCGTAATAACTGAGCGCATATTTGTGCGAGTCAAATCATGCAAATATGTGAGGATTTCTTGTTGTTGGTGGCGCACGGCTACGGCCATATCTTGCTTTCTCCCGACTCTACATTGCTTCTCGTACATTGATTGATGTCTTCGTTGACACTTGGTCTTGGTCCCTCATCAGCCGTACCACAGGGCGAGCTTGCGTAAAGCTAAGAGCGCAGGGCAGCTCTAGCTGCGATTTGTGTCTCTCGGGGTATCATTGTCAGCTTGTTCTGGCGACCACTTCTTCGTTGCGCTGCCGGCTTCGAGACTGTATGCTTCCGTGGCTGTAAGCTTCCCTCGGCTGGTAAATCCTCTTCGCTGTCTAGAACTGGATAATGCCAGAATTGTGTGTACATTTTCCGTTGCGACCAAAGGATGCCAGTCTAAATTGCTTCCGCCCGAACGGCTATTGTTTGAAGCGCGTTCTCAACCGCAAAGAGAATTTGATGATCATGGATCAACAATCAAACGCAGATGCTGCTGAGTCGCTGGCGTGGGCTGCCCACAAGCCGCCAGCCATAGATGTGGCCTCATCTAAGACTGTTTCTCGGCTCTAGTGCAAGTGGCTCATTCCGGCTATGAGGCTGTCCTGTGCTCATCAGGACAGAGGAGCCAGAGACAGTCCTGGCCAGATGTCTTTGAGTATCATACCACCTGGACCATGCTGAGCCGCCGGGCAAATTTGGCTTGCGGAAGCCGGTGAAGCGAGTGCGTGCTCTTCGCTCAGGGAAGGACGTGAAATCATCGTAGAGGCCTTACAGGAAAATAAGCCTCTCCGCCGGTATCGGGTACCGATCAGGATCAAATGGCGGGGGGGTTCTGCAGAGGCATAGGTATGCGGCTGATAATGGTGGAAGTATGTACCCGGCAGCATGCACGGCGCAATGCGAGGTCGGTGATATGTGTGATGAGCGACATGAATAGAAGCGGGATATGCGTCTATCTGCAATTTTTGCCAGGTCATGGTGTTCCCGTGTTGTTTCTTTGGCGCCTTTGCAGAAGAAGGACTGGCTCGTAATGTTCGGCTGTGATGTTACATGCGCCAGGGTGCAAGTCTGGTTCAGGGCGACGCTTCACGGCCCAATCTTCCATTCGACGCCGGGCAATGGTACGGCAAATTTGTATGTCTGCCACAATGCCACTCTCGCGGTGGCAAAGATTGGCTTGACGGATTGCTTATTCAGGTGTTGATGTCGTATTCGAAGTGGTGGCCGAAGCCTTCTTTGCTTATTCTATGATATGTCACTTCATCCCGAGCCGCCCACCGTTGCGCGCCTCATCTCCGACATGCTGCACGATGCAGCGCGTGGTCGGGCATAAATCCTGCGGTATTTCCAATAACGGGAGGCAATCGTCAGGCGAGCATCGGATTCTCTCGAAGAGGTGGAAGAAAGCAAATGAAGAGTCAATGGCCGCAAATGGCTGTGGCTGTGGGATTTTCCGTGGTAATGAACTTACGAGATGTGAGACTTTGAGGCGAAGGAGGAAGAATCAAAGGTTGACGATCTGATGTTGTTGGTGGTTACGTGCCTCACGGACGTTCTTTTGGAAATCAACAGAAAAAGTCTAAGGCAATTGCGCCCGGCATGGACGTGTTCCTGCCTTATTCCAAACCGGCAGGTAATTAGGTAGTGGATGATATTCGCACCTTCCTTGAAGCCCCTGCATGCCTGGTACTGTTTTTTTTCGAGGTGCATACCTTCCGCTCTGCCCTGACGTGTGCTTACGTAGTACAGCCGCTGAAATGCAGTTGTTCAGCGGGAGTGCCGCTGTAGCAGGCGCTGAGCAAATTATTGATTATGTAATTCATGCTTTTCAAGTATTCCACACCTTTGGCAAAATGCACCCGATTCTATCCTTCACGAACTTGAAGTCCAACCTCTGTACAACTCTGGCTGACCTACGACGAACGACTACATCCAGATCTATATGGTGAACGCAGCAATATCTCGTATTATGCCCAGAGGTGGAATTATCGCCCTCAGGGGTTCTTCTTCGCCAAGATCGGATATCCCGTCGTCACTCGTTAGTCTTCACCGGCTTCTTGTAGGCTGCGGCTTAGCAACCCTCACTTCCAACCCCATCCCGCCGGTCACATATCCCCAATTCAATTTTCAAGCTGTGGAGTACAGCTTGTCACCAACAAGCTAATGCCGCGATCCTTCGCCCCGTATTTCACCCGACGTCACCGGGTGCCTGAACTGGCGGAGCGGCTACCATCCGAAGCCCTGGTCGTCTGAACTTGCAACGGACAAGAGGCGAGA